AACGATACGAAACAACTGTGTTATTAGAGGGATCTTAAGGTAAATAAAACGACTACTTTGTTCAGACTTTCATCTCCGCACACCGATATCGAACAATAACTTCCTCTTTCTGTTTTTTTTCAGCAAAACTGGTCAGCCTTCGCGCCGGACTTTAAGGAGCTCGATGAAAATGTGGAATACGAGGAACGGGAGTCTGAATTTGACGTGGAAGATGAGGACAAAAAGGAAGTGGAAAAAGATGGTAGGTGAATGGCAGTGTGTATATATGCCTGCCTCTGAGGCAGTAGTTCTCATCACGTCTGCCTTGTACCAGGCCGAATTATCATGACTCCTATTCTTTCTGTTATTAGATGGTGTCGAACAGGATGTTATCATTGAAGTAGAGCGCGTTGAGCCAGTTGCGGCCATGCTAAGTAGGTACGTTCATCCGCTTTCTCTGCACCCCTCTTTGTGCTGACATCAAAACTTAGTCCATTGCTCTTTCGTTCAGATTGCTTAAATTCCTCCTTTCGCTTCTGATTTCAATTCATCCAAAGTGCCTACCTGACCGAGGAGCTGTCTTTGGAAGTGGGTCAACCGTAACATACTTTCAAGGTCTTCATGATTGGGTTAAATGAACTGTGGCATTGATGGTCGTTCGCCTAACGCAGTCTGCCAGTTCTACATCCTATGTTGTGCCAAGCAACAACTTAATTCACCACGTTTGTCACTCGTTAACCGAATTATTATTTATCTGGCTTGGTTGCGGTCTACTAACCAAAAGTGGACTTTTGCCGGCTAGAGATAAGTTACCGAACCTCTAGACCCCTGTGTATTACAATGGAGGTTGTGTCGTTTTGTTTTCTGGCTAATTCGGGAACGAGGGCAACCCACTGTCTCGTGTTTGGCTGTCGCTTGGAAAGGAAGCTGAATGCAGGGATCTGTGCTTCACTCCCCACTTTTGCAAATATATGTTCAATATAAATATGTTATTCACTACGTTATAGTAACATTTGTATTTCAAGTTAATTATTGTACTGCTTTTAATAGGGTCTTCAAAGATAATGCCCACTGCCCTTAAATATACTGAACTACTATGAAAAGGGGTTGACGTTTTCGTCCCGTGAGGCTCCGCGTACGTCTTTAGGTTCTTCCCACCAGAACTCGTAGCATACTGGCTTGTGGCAGTCCATGTACTTAGGGTAAGCCCAAGATTTCGACCCTCACGCTGCGTCAGCCACTGCACCCAATCCCATCACCAGTTGGTTGACAGGCTCGGACAGTTCACTGGTGCATGCGACGAGGAAGAGAAAGATAGC